ATATTTATCTCCTTTAATTGTGTGATTGTCCTCTATATACAGAGGTACTAATTGATGTAAATATTCATCCAAAATAGTGAAGATATAGTCGGTTGGGGCTTTGGATATGTGGACGTAAGTCTTCGGCCTGAACCACGTAAATGTTATGTTTTATCTTCTTCTATCTCCATATATGCTACCACGAATTCTAATATGGTATCAGAGCAAGAAAGCTCCCACAAATTCTAACATGGTATCAGAGCAAGAAAGCTCTCACGAATTCTAACATGGTATCAGAGCAAAAAAGCTCTCACGAATTCTAACATACTAAGAGGCCTACCCTTCCCTAAGGCATTTGGAGGGCATAAATTTGATCGACTAGATTTGTAATTAGCAAAAATGAAGAGAAAAACAATTGTATAAATAACCAAAGCATATCCATTGCGCTCTGAAGGATAAAGAAATATTGTATTGATTTCAAATCACATCTTAAAAAAAGGGACAAATACTCAGCTATTGATCTAAAGGTCTGAGATAAAAAACCTAAAACACAATCAACCAAACCAATCACCATGGTAATCAAGATCCACAATAATAAACCTCCATAATCAACACAAATCAGACAAATTCAGTGAAAATTGGAGAGAGAAAACTAGGCTAGAGAGAATAGTGGTAAGGAATTACGTAGAAACGGGTGAGATTAACAATAGTCCAAGCTGGGCCTGTAGAGCACCCGAATACAAAGAAGATTATGAGCCACGAGAAGAAGAGTATGAGAATATAGGTAGTCCACACACCCAAGTACATTAACCATGTTGTGTTATTGAGAACTAGAGGGCACACAGCCTGCATCCCTATAATGCTGAACCCATCCACCATTATTGGTGACCTTTTTACCTTTCTTACCCAAATCCCCTACCATTTCCCATATTGCTTACATGGAGAGAAAGAGAGAGTGAAAGAGAGAGAGAGAGCTTTTAATGGTAGAGGGTTTATGTGAGAGGGGTTACGCAGCTGGAGAGTGCTTATACAATGAGATCATTTACCTTTGATATAAAGTGGTCACATTAATCTTGACCATTGGATGTGACATTGGATGGCTACAATTATTCCATTGACCAAGCTCAAACTTTATAATAATTTTTTTTGAACTTTGTGACACATCCAAACTATAAAATTTTACATCAAATAGTTGTAATGAATTGTGACCACCTTGTATCAAAATTAAATGGTCTCATTGTATACAATCCCTATTTGTACAAACTAATATATGTATTTTATATAGAGAGAAAATGGAGAGAGAAAGAGAGAGAGATGCACATGCTTGAGAGGTCTTGGTCGATCAGCTTTCTGGTTGTCTTGGCTCTTTCGCGGCGATGGTGAGAGACGTGGGTGAAAGAGGGTGGGACGTTGGTGAAAAATGTGGAGGTTTTCTCATCGGACTTGAGCCACATGCAATCTGAGTTACACAGGTGGAGGTTTCAAGCCTATCTCTTTCATGGGGTGGCGTGGAACCAGCGTTATCCTCATTTTGGGGATAATGGAAGTTCCAATCAAAGTTTTCACTGTAGCACTTCAAGATATCAAATATGAAAGTGCAATAAAAAATGGATACCGCTACTTCCAAACCAATAAGTTCCAGCTACCAAACGTGCCCTTAGATTCCAGAGCATCCCTCCAGAGTTTTACCTTTGTATCGACATTATCTTTAATCTCGTTAATCAAATATATGTCATCCACAAATAACATACACTATTACCTTGTCATATAGATGTCTAATTAATTCGTTTATATCTAAAACAAAGAGATAATGGCTCAACATTGGCTGTTGATGTAGGCCTATTGTATTGAAAATTTTACTTGTCTCTCCACCGGTTGTCCTCACCATAGTTAGTGTTCACTCGTACGTATATCTCGCCATGTCAATATATTATTTAGAGACATTTATTTTCTAACCACTACCAAATTAATTATCTAGGTATCCTATAATACACTTTTTCTAAAATCAATAAAGACTGTGAACTACAAATTTTTCACCTTCTCTTATCTTATGTCTTAATCCTGGCCTTACTTGTTATTTTATTATAATTCTTCTCAGCATTTTTACATTCTTTTAAGTTTTGATAAATTCTATTCATTTACCAAGTTTTGTAACATGGTAATTTGTTGCTAATAACATTTTGAACCCCATCACTCTACTACTAAGTTTTTTTATCTTAATGTCTTTTTCCTCTAGATTACCCTAAAACTCACTTTATCACTTTTTTAATATACTCAACCATCTTAGTCCTCATAACATTAGATTCATATTTCATCTATTTGTGCTAACATCCATAACTATGAGCCTATCTATCTCACTTTTATATGTTCCGTTTTTTTATGTTATTAAATATTCATCTCACTTTTTAAAATAGATTTGTGCTATTGCTAGGTCATGAGCCACAGGAAAATAAAAGATCGTATTACCCGTATCGTTTCTTTTCTCAAATCTATATCTCTCATATACTCTTGCATATCCTCTACTATCTTTTCCTACATGACCATTTAAGTTCCTTCTTCAAAATATCGTCTCTCTATTTGGTATTCCTTTGTCTAGTCCATCCATGTCCTCATAGAATTGTCTTTTAATTTTATCATTTAGTCTTACTTTTTGAGCATAAGCACTATCTACATTAATTATCTCTTCTTCCGGCACAAGTTCAATTAATAGAAGCATATCACCTATACTCTTAACATCTAGTACTTTATCTTTTGGAAAATTATTTTCATGTGGACTGGACCGCATTTCTACATATGAAGGACATAAAGTGTAAAGCATCGATCTTAAAGATGTATCCTAACTACAAAACCCTACTTTGAGACTCATTCCTAGGTCCATGAGTTATTAGGACTTTCTAACCTCTGCCAAACCTAATATCATGGACCCATTGAAAATGTAATTCTGAAATGTTCAAAATAAAGAAAATGTAACTTTGAACCTTTATTCCCGAGACTCCAAAATCACCACAAGACAACCTAGTCCTTTTAAATCTTTAAATGGCACAGAGGACCAGGAGACTTGACCCATATGGAACCTACTTCAAGCCCTAGATAAAACCCTAGGCAACTATTTTATCTTATTCATCAATCTAATATTCACAAAAGCTTTTATCCTCATTTCAAGTTCAATTAGCAATATTCCAAAATTGGAGAATGCCAACACATGATTCGAATGGTATGAACCAAGGCTGATCTGGGTGTTGAGCCTAAGGATCATGTTGTACGAGTTCATTTGTTGTTTTCTCCATTTCAACATATTTTCATTTATTTCAGACTATGCTCATTATGAACCTTGTGCTTATTATATTTTAGCAATCTAATTGTATTCTAATAGGGTTTTAAGTGATGCCCAACCATTGTAGCTGATCCACAAGAAAGAGACTGCGATGTCTATTTCTTGTGACTAGTAAGTTGATATTAAGAGTATAAGTGATCTGCTCATATTAACTAATAACATGTATAACCTTGGTATTTTGAGCTTGAGCATCATTTAACAAACTTTGCACCTCTCGCCTTGCAGTTCAACATCTTATTGAAGTCTAAGCCAAAAATACTTGTTTTCCATTGATACAACTATCTCATCTAACCGAAAGTGTCCCATTAAGCCTCACTCACAAAGAATTCCCATTATTTCCCTACAAAGAGTCTACTTGAGTGCACAGACACGACCCAAATAAGAGACACCCGTCATGGGATAAAGATCTGCCATGTTGTTTGGGCATTGTCTGTGTATATTGCTCATAAATAGCCCCAAAACATCGATCGGTCTCATGCGGTTGTTTTATATTTTCAAAGTGAGCAATTTCCACCGACAAAGTGTTCAAAATAGCAACCCTTCAAACAAGAGCATTTCACACAGTTTTGAGCTAAACTTATGTTTAATAATAAAAGTATAATTATGGAGAGAAGATGTCAATTTTGCAGGCCTATGATTCAATTTATTTGAAAATTTGTATACCTCAAAGCTTTATGGTCTAAAATAAAGAAAAGACTCATTGTGAATCAAGTAATGATGCTTATAACATAGCTTGAATAATAGCATAGATTTTGACACCACAAGTTTAATATCTATTATTGACTCCACTCCACCTAATACTATGTATGCAATAGCATCCCTTTAGGCTGACATGTGTCATCAGCCAATTCAACACTAGTATGCACATGTGAAGCATCACATTCTACCACGAAAACCTTTTCAAATTCAAGCAACAACACTAAGGCTTCAACGATCTTTTGCTTTACTAGATTAAACTTCTTCTAGTGAAATTTGTGAGGTGAGTTCTAATTTTATTATTTAGAGCCATGGCTCTATATAAACTTATTCTTGACAAGAATACTAAATTTACAAATACAACACCAATAAAAGGGAGCAAGCCCATGAATGTTCCTCACATTTCCAAATGATGGTGGCTGAGATTATTCAACAAGGAAAAGTTTATACAAGGTTGCAACCTTAAAATGTACAATCAAAGGTGCGTTTAAAAAATCCATCGTAAAAGATGGTTTGGATGTTGAAAAACCATCTAATTGATCATCTCGATATCTAGATGTATGACTGTGAAAAGAAAAAATATTATGAGTCTACAAAATAGTGCATCTTACAACACATTATCTAGACTGTCTATTTTCAAGATTTTCATGTGCTTATAAATCTACTTGATTTGAACCATTTATAGAATTTAAAATTTTATAATTGGCGATAAAAATAGATTTTCTAATCAGCCTAAGAATTTTTTTTATCAAAACTACATTACGATAAAATTTCGAGGTGTGCCTTAGTTGAATTGTTTAAGGTTGTAACCTTGAAATATTTTCCTCGGACACCTAGCAAACACCACAAACCCAAGGAAAATAAGGCTACCCAATACCTAAAAGGGCACGATGGGAATTAAAGGAAAAGGAAGCGTGGCAAACAGCCCCTAACATGAAAATCCGAGGGTATTTTAGACTTCTTCCTTCGTTTATATCACTGCCCATGAGCTGTTTGCCCTAATTCATAGAACCAGAGTTGCTTCACACTCTTATCTCCTCTGCAGCCTAGTTGTGTGACTTGTGACGAAAAGAACCAGGGCCGCCGCACCTAAAAAACTAGGGCAAGAATCCGTCTGCAATACCCCGAGCACTATTGCCTAAAAAAATGGTTATTATTTCAACTGATTTATCACTTCTTTAACTCTTCCGTCTACGTTTATTGTGTTTGTTTGTCTCCATATATATTTTTTCTGTTTCAAACTGTTATAGGACTTTATCTGCACTTGTTTGATGAGATTTTTTGGGTTAGTTTTCCATACTTTAAAGTATATTCTGAGTTTTTGTTCTGGAATCATTACACTTTAGCATAAAGTACTCTGATTTACTAAATTTATTAACTAATGGTAGAAAATTTCATTAATTAGTCATTATACAGTAGTTGCCTCTAGGTTTATTTATGGAGGCGTGCTAATTCACGGGCACACCTTTGTTTCTAGATTTTGGAATAATAATTTTGAGTTTGCTCTTGATAATCTGTTTTTTCATGTACTGATTTGTCAATCCTTGGCTTTATTGTGTATTAATTGCTTCATCCTTCAATTTCGAGCTTGATTCTCTTGTTCATTGTTCTTGAGAGCGTAGAACCAGCTCTCGAATTGAAATATAGATGCAAATTAATTTCTTGATTTATGATTGTTGAATTCTGTTCCATATTCTGAGTTGATTCGTAATTTCAGTTATAGAATATTTGCTTGGTTTACTGCATGGTCAGTTTTTTCTATTGCTCTACCTGCCAAGACATCTAGTGGTTTTTGTTGGAAATTTTTTATCAAATGTCCTAAATAATTTAGATGTAAATTCTGATTGTGCTGTGTACCGATTGAATGCATGTTTCATTAGCCTTCAATTCATAGTCACATTTTTCATTTTCTAGTGAGCATTTTTCATTTTCTAGTGAGGTGGGAGCATTGAGTTGCATCTTCTTTTTTATTTCCCATTTTTGTTTTTGCATATTTTAAAAAAAATTGTCAAGCTTAGTTTTAGAGTTAAAAACTTATGGTTATGGATAATATTAGTGAGGTCATTGATTTGAAGCAGTCAATGGATGCCATTTGAGTAATCTCACATCTTATTATGTTGTCGAATGTAAACTTTTAATGAATAACCGGTTTTGATTCTAAAGTGTAAGACACATTTAGAGCGCCACCTGTTGAAGCTGAATGTCGTTGTTATAGCTATTATGGTCTTCGGCATGCTTCTCTTTGGAAGATATCACGTGGAAGTCGAAACCACTTATGAGCTTGCACTCTTGCTTTGAGCTTGACGAACAAACTTTTGAAAGAAAAGTAGCGTGAATGCTTCCTTTCCTCAAGTTTTATGATTTGAAATAGTTAAAATAGATGTTTGGGGATATTCTTTTAAGGGAAAACCAAGAGAAATGATGCTTGTGTGGTATGCGTCTTTACTGAAGTGATATAATATCCTTTTTCCAATATCTGAAATGGAAGTATATAAATGCTTTTGACCACTGTTTAAAAAAAAAGATGGGTGGTTTGAACTTGTCACCCACCATTTATGGTTTAGCTAGGTGAACCAAACTTAATTATTATAGTTTGGCTGTACTGGGCTGTCAATATTTTTTTTTGAAAATAACCAACTTTTTAAAAAAAATTAAATTTGATGAATATGTCATGTAGTCGGATGAAATTACTGAAGAGTTGTAAATACTGGGACATGTTCATTTTTGAGTGCACACAATCATTTGACCATGAAAAAATGCAGTGGATTACAGTAGTAACATCCATAGGATCAATCAATTGTTAATAATGTAAGTAAATGAGTTGAAACGTGCAATTTAAGACTCATAGTTATCCCAACAATAGTCAAACCGACCGCCACCCCACATAAGGATTTTGTTCATTTTTGGGGATATCATGTATTTTCAGAAATATTGTGTATTTGTGGCAAATGCACAATGTTTCTAATGAATATATACAGTATAGACGACTAATTGAGAGCTTAATCTTAGATACACAATTTAAATTATGATTAACTGTTGACAAAAAATTGGAAATTAGTAAATTTTGTTAAGTAAATTTGTAATTTTTTTAACAAATAAAATTTAAAACGAAAAATCCAAATCATTAGAAATTGAAGAGAAAATCAACAAATAAATGTTCTAAATCATTCTTAACACACTCTAAAACAAAAACCCCAACAAAATAGAGCGTGGCATTCACAAAAAAATATCGATGTTCTCAAAATTCAGAATTTTTCAGAAAATAAAACTGGGTAAAAAAATTCATGGTTTTTTCAGAATAAAAATTGAACTTGTTAGAAATGAAATAGAAAGGCAACAAATAAATGTTCCAAATCATTCTTAACACACTCCAAAACAAAAGTCCCAAGAAAATATTACATGATATTCTTAAAATATACAATTTTATTCTATCTAAAATCAGAAATGTCGAAATTATAAGAAATCTGTGAAAAAAGTCAACAAATGAATGTTCTAAAACATTCGTAGTACTTAGACATTACTTATACATTCTAGAGTGTTTTAAGGAACTATTTGGAACATTCATTTGTTGATTTTTCTCTAATTTGTCATGATTTTGAGTTTTTACTTGGTTTTTTATAATTTGTCATGAAAGGCTTAGGTTTTTTATATAAAATTTATAATTTTGTGGATATCATGTTATTTTTCTGAAAAGATCTTCTATAAATGCTCTTATTGTGTAACTTTTTGTGGATACCATTATATCATTTTATAAAATTACTATCATTGTGCCCAAACGAAAGAAATTTCCAATGTGGGGTGGTGTGGTAGTTAGGATGATTATGAGCCATCATGTCATTACTTTGGGTATTAGATTGTGTCTGGACTCATTTGGTTATATTATGATATTTGATCCTATAGGTGTTACTATTGTGATTTATTGCATTTTGTGAAATGACTGTGGCACTCAAATAGAAACATATCTCTTGGTATTTATGCCTCTTGGATAATTTCATCAAATTATTTAACATATTCATCATTTTTTTCACTAACTCACGTGTTCTTATTTTTAAATTTTTTTGATTTCTCAATAAATTTTATCAGCACAATATGGCCAAATTGGTCCAATTGATTTGGTTCATTGAGCTAAACCGGAATTGGTGGGTGACCCGGTTCACCCCACCCGTCCACTTTTTTAAACTTTGATTGCCACAAAGAGAAAATTTTGGATGCAATCCATTTGGCATGCTTGTAATGGAAGACTAATCTGATTAAATTCCTCATATTCATCAAATACCCCTTTCAGCTCTTAATACTCAAGTTGGGTGCTCTATTTTTCACCATGCTTCAATAACATTCCAGAATGTGAATCAGGACAGTAATCTCTCATTCTCGATGGTTTTAAGGACTCAGATCTGGACTTTCCAGGGTCCCAAGTCCGAGCCGAGAAACTTGGACTCGGCCGAGTGTTTCATTCAGAAACTTAGCCATTTCCTTCAAAGTTATAATAATGAAATATTGGAATTGGTGCCAGTTCCGATGGTTTTGGTTCCGGACATGGTGGCCTGCTGAGTTAGGGTAACAGTTGAGTTTTGAGTATTCGCTGCTGGTTATCCTTGCATTTTAAAATTTGACTGTAGTTTCTTTGTGAACATTTGTATTTGTATTATTACGCTTACATGAATATAAAATGGCAATTTAATAGTTGGGTGCCAGTTGGTACACCAGTTGGTACATGTAAGCTAAAAAGGTAGGGGCAACCACCCACAACTACAAACATGTGGAGGTAGACAAAATATATACTTTTCAAAATATGAAATCCGTCTGAAGTTCATGACTCTCCACCGGTGTCAAGTTTCAGTGAAGTTGGGTAGCAGTTGGTACATGTAAGCTAAAAAGGTGGGGCAACCACCCACAACTACAAAAAGGTGGAGGTAAACAAAATATATAGTGTTCAAAATATGAAATCCATCTGAAGTACATTACTCTCCACCCATGTCTAAGTTCCAGTGAACCATTTTGAATTCTGGCTATTGCATGTGCTGTTTACTTGTTCCATATAGCTAACAAAAGAAAATCCTGTTAGATGTGACTAACTGAGGAGATCTAGACATGTGCCACCCTGTGTTAATGCACCGTACTCATGTGCTCAAATGAGGTATTTGTAAGCCGAGACTGTTGTCATTGATTATGCACTCTGAAATGGATGTGTATGCAGTGTGCTAATATTTGTTGTGCAACCTTTTATTTGTTTATGGCATTGTAGATGATTTATCAAACTTGTATGTTTTTACATTGATTGCGAAGCTTGTGCGCTTTTCTTTTTTGCAGGTGCTTTCAAATGACATTGATCTCCTTCATCCACCAGCAGAGCTAGAGAAGAGGAAGCACAAGTTGAAACGCCTCGTTCAATCTCCAAACTCGTTCTTTATGGTATGCATATCCTTTTCATCTCATCTCTCCCCACTTCTGTTCACTTTTTTTTTTCACCTCCAATCCAAATTCCCAACTCGTACTTTATGGTATACGCTTTTCATCTCTCCTCTCCTCACTTCTGTTTACAGTTTTGAGTATTTTGTACCTCCAATCTCTCATGCTTCTACTTTTTATTATGCAGGATGTGAAATGCCAGGGATGCTTTAACATGTGAGTATTAGAGCTTCAAGAAAAGAATGTTCATTTGTCTCTTATCGTGTTCTAAGTTACTCATCTTATTATGCACCATCTCTCTCTACTCTATTTGTCACCCGATCTCTCTCTCTCTCTCTCATGCATCTTGTTCATTCACCTCTGGTGTATCTTTATTCGTGCATGCAGAACGACTGTGTTCAGCCACTCCCAAACAGTGGTGGTATGTGGAAATTGCCAAACCGTTCTTTGCCAGCCTACTGGAGGGCGTGCTCGTCTTACTGAAGGCTGCTCCTTTAGGAAGAAGGGAGACTGAGATCGTCTTACTGAAGGCTGCTCGTTTACGAAGAAGGGAGATTGAGATCTTCTAACGAACTTTCACTGCTCCCCTTGAACCATTGTAAGAATCGAGGGTTCATCTTTTGATTATGGTTTTCTGGGGCTTATTCTTAGTAGTTCTGTTTACAAATTCTGGGCTTCAAAGACCTCATTTAACATGAACATGAGTTTGATCATGTTATCTATGTTTTGCATGACATGAGTACTTAAATTTTGTCTGTTCTTTCCGGTTGTACTGGCAAGGATTGAGTTGGGTTCTTGATATTGATTTTGAGATAGGGTTTTATAATATCTTGTTGCTTTCTTGCACCATAATTGTCATTGAACTGAGATCCATTTACTAATATATCTAAGAGAGACCTGTTCTTTTGTTTAGAAGCATTGGTTGGTTAAATACCTGATCATAAACGAGGACCTCGCAACCTGCTGAAAATCTTTGTGATGGTTTTAAAATATATTTTTATTTTTAATTATAAAATTTAAAGTTTAAAAAATAGTGTAGATGGAACAGATTTATGAAAACTTAAAAATCTTGAAAATTGACTGTCCAAATATGAATTACAAGATGCATTATTTTTAAAATTTGAAATTCATTTTTTTTTCTTATGAAAATGATTAATTTGTGGATACTTGGGCATCAAATTTTCTTATAGTGAAATATTTGAGGTGGGCTCTAGTTTGATATTTTAGAGCCTCTGTATTACCCCCTGCCCCCAACGCCTCTTCGCCAAACGAAGAGAGTACGTTCTCTTTGGAAACCATACTATACCCTGCCTGTGTGGGTGACCTTTTCTAGCATACATGGCCTCCATACTCTATATTTTTTCTCGTGTTTTCCGTTTGTAAAAATTACTGTTGTCGCCTTTTTTTTTGGTCGAGTAGTTTGGTAGAGAATAATTCAGTAATTTGGATCGATAATTCAGGAAAATGAAGAGATTGAAGAAGATGTCGCACATAAAATTCGAATTAAAGTTGGGTTGAAGAAATGGAGATCTGCCATTGGAATTTTATATGATCGTTTTTTACTAATGAAGTTGAAGGGTAAGTTTATAAGATAATTGTGAGACCTGTTTTGTGCTATATGTTTGAATAATGGGCAGTCAAAAAGTGATATATCTATAAAATGAGTGTAGCAGAGATGAGGATGTTGAGATGAGTGAGTAGTACAGACAAGAAGAGATAAAATTCAAAATGAATATATTTGAAAATACTTAGGTGCGGCACCAATAGGTGATCAATTGAGAGAGAAAAAAGTAATGTTAGTTCAAGTGGTGCAGACCCATAGGAAATGTGAGTTAGTTCGAGGAGACAAAAATATATAGGTTTATGGTTTATGATTTTACTGAAGGTATGACTCTTAATAAAACATAATGACAAGATTTGTATATTTGATTTTTAAAAAAAAAAAAAAAACAAGGAAGGAATCTCGTACTTGTGATAGGAGTTGAATTCAATATGCCATTATGGAAACCTATCACCTTCACCGTTTAGCTTTTTTTTTTTTGATAGGTTGTGTATGGTGTGGTCACCGCCTTTGGTTTGGCCTTTTCTATAGGTCGTGTATAGTCTAGTCATTGGCGAATGTGTTGTGTAGCAAGACCCTTTGCAAGCCACAACCCGTTATACTAGCATAGCGATTGTGAATGTGTATAAGCCTACCATACGCTTTAACACCAAGAAATCATTTTTTTTTGGTAAATCAAAATATTTTAACGGCAATTTAGCGTTTAACCGTCTTAGGATCTTAGTTGTTACTTTTTTTAACTTTTTCATCTTGATTAAGTTGGAGATATTAGGTGGTGCCGCTATATGCTTTTGTTTATTTAGGGGCCAGTTTGGATGACAATTTTATCTAGAATAGGCTATCTTAATTAAATTTAATATGCTCTGGATGATATTATTTTGTTGGCTTTTAGGTATGTATCTTGTATTATATATCATATTGTTATTATACTTTTTCTGAAATTTCTAGTCATTTCTAGCAAAAAAAATATATTTGATTTTCAATAAATTATTTTTGAATGAAGAGAAGTCCATCGAAAAAAACTTTATCATGGCATTGATTTATGATTGAAATTGTTAAACAACATAGAATTCATTATCATATGATTTTATTGGAATACTAAATTACTAATGACAATGAGTATATCAAACAGGTCATTAGAAACGTATAGAATTGACATTTTCTACATGATATGTTTTCCATCCTCCAACCAGCGTTTGAATGATCGACACCGGCTGAGTACTCAGCCCAGGCCTGAGTACTCGGCTTAAGCCAAAACGTGTTTAAAAAAATAAAAAATACAAAAATTAAATAAGATACATCTAAATGGGATTAAAAAGTAGTGAAAAATATATTTTGAAAAATCAAATTGTGTTGGGAATATTTTAGAAAGGGTGCAGTTGGCATACGGATGCATCCGTAACTGTAGAGGTAAGGTGCACTTTCAAATTTTATCATGGTATATAATTTTGATGTAAAATATTCTTAGGATTATCTCAAAATCTAATTTTATATCTAATTATAAAATTTTAAATTTTAAAAATGGTTAAAATCAAGTAGATTGATAAATATATGAAAATCTTGAAAATGGATAGTGTAGATAATATATTGTAAATAGCACTATTTTTGAGACTTAGAATCTTTTTATTTTTTCGTGGTCATACATCTCGATGTCGAGATGATCAATCACAAGGTTTTTCAACAATAAAACTACCTTTTTCGATTGGATTTTTTAGGTGCATCCGTAGTTCTAAATTATGAGGTTGTATCTTTATATAAACTTTTTCCTTTTAGAAATACAAGGAAAAATATAAAAATAAGTATTCATAACAAAAATATTTTTCCATCTTTGCCAAAACGATCGAATATTAGAAATAAATTTCTTATGTTTTTATTTTGTATAATTTTTTATTTTGTTTAAGATTCCTGAGTTAGATACACGCATGGATACTCGGGTGAGTCCGAGTTGGGTTGCCCCGAGTAATCAAACATTGCATTCAACAATGTTTGAACTCTAACCAGGGGCCCTTGGGAGCCATACCCCATGTTTCCCCTTTTACAAGTCTTATGCTCATTCATCTTCACCACGTAGCATGAAATACAATAGTCGTCACCGCTTTAATTTAATTTTCCATATAACGGTGCTCAAGCGATTATATGCTCCTGCAGGAACGTACAATAGATTGTAAAACCAATGGTTTAAAAAACGGATCGGTGACCCGGATCGGGCTCCCAAAAACCCATCCGGATCGGTGAATCGACGATTCAGATCGGAAATCAGGTGAATCGGTCATAATAAAGCTTCAAAAAAATCCGAAAAAATTATTAAAATTCATGATAAATATTGTTTTTTAGGAATTCAATAAGAAATGAGGGTACTCCATTAAGAATTTTCATGTTTTTAAATGAATATGCGAATATTGATATGTTCTTTCCCTGCATGAACCGCCATTCAGCATTTAATTTACATCACACAAAAGGATAAACATAGAATTATCATGGAATAAGTATATCAACATACATGGACTACAATAAAGCATAAAATTAGTAACATACGATCTAAAAATAAAATGATAGACGACGTTGTTGTTCTTCTTGGTCACACTGGTGCCATTGATTGAATTCGTTTGACAATTCATTGATTCGATCAAAAAACGAATCATCGATATTAGCGGGCGTCTGATTATTCTCAAATCAGTCATTCCAACTAAAAAAAATCCATGAACAACAGATAAAAAAAATACAGTTTTACATTAAAAATATAATAACATGCATTTTTTTGCATAAATAATCCATCAACATACAATTTTTTCAACAAAAACTTTAACAATAAAAATTTAAAATATGGTTTAATACCTCATGATAATTAAAACCTTGTCACGATTTTCACATCTTTTCGAAAAATCATCATTTTTCAAAAAATTCGATCATGGAAAAAAAAAAAAAAAATTACAGTAAACTCAAACAATAAAAATTAAAAATTGGGTTTAATACATCATGATAATCAAAACTTTATCACGATTTTCACATCTTTTCAAAAAAT